ATGATGACGATGACAATGATGATGACGATGACATTGGTAATGATGATTTTGCTGATGATGCTGATGATGATGATTTCCGAGGAGGATGAGGAGGATGAGGATGAGGATGAGGAGGATGACAGTGATGATGATGCTGCTGCTGCTGATTATGATGAGGATGGTGGTGACGACGACGATGATGATGCTGATTATGATGATGATGATGACGACGATGATGATGATGATGATGGTAATGATGATGATGCTGCTGATGGTGATGACGATGATGATGATGATGATGATGATGATGGTGATGGTGATGACGCTTATTCTGTTGAGGGCGAAGACGAGGATAAGGATGATGATGCTGATGATGATGCTGATGATGGTGGTGATGATGATGATGGTGATGATGATGATGATGAAGATGACGATGATGACGATCATGACGATGATGATGATGATGATGATGATGATGATGATGATGATGATGATGATGATGACGATGACTGACGCTGCGGAGAATGATGAGGATGAACAGGAGGAGGAGGAGAAGGAGGAGAAGGAAGAAGAAGAAGAAGAAGAAGAAGAAGAAGCAGGCCGTCACACGTGACACGTTTCGTCTTTATACATTGAAGCGCTCTGATTGGAGCTCGTTTGGGCCGTCTCGGCGTTTTGGCCTCCTGTTGGGCAGTCTTGGGGGCCCCTTGGGTTCTTCTTGTATATAACATAGAAGAAAACCACCCTTGCCCATGACGCGCGTTATGGCCCCTCCGTAGCCATGTTGACTCAAGGGCATTTGTGGCTCATCGCTTTTTTCGTGGGCTCGCGCTGTCGTGTGCTCGAAGGATGGCCAAAAACGAGGGATGGGTCTACGTCAAGAAGCCTGGCCCGACCCCCAAGTTCGCTGATTGCTTCGAGCTGCGGAGTATGGATATGCCGGAGGTGAAGGAGGGGATGGTCCTCGCCAAGGTCCTGATGGTCGCCAGCGCGCCTCACCTCTGGGCGTTCCTGGAGCTGCCCGGCAACGACGTCGGTGCTGAGGCCGCTGGTCTCAAAAGGACGAAGCTCGGGGAGATGGTCCCCACCGAGACCATCGCAGAAGTGGTGGAGAGCAGGAGTCCCAAGTACAAGGTCGGAGACAAGGTGAGCGGCTTCCTCCCGCTTCAGCGCTACGTGGTTTTCCACGGGGAGTCCCGGGACGGATTCCCTCCGGTGAAGCTCATGCCCGGACAGGCGCCAGAGGCCGCGCTGAGCATGGGCGCGATGCTAACGGCGCAGATTGTCGTGAGCAACCACCCTTGCGGCTGGGTGGAGGAGCCGTGGTCGTTGGGCGGCTGCTTTGGCTTCCTGTTCAAGCTCTTGCGGCCCAAGGCCCAGAAAACTGTTCTGGTCACCTCGGCCGCGGGCCCTGTGGGGATCACAGCGTGCCAGCTGTACAAGAACAGGGGTTGTAAGGTGGTCGGGGTCACCAGCACGAGGGCGAAGGCGGACAAAATTAAGGAGCTCGGCATTGACCACGTCATCGCCTACAAGGAGGAGGACATGGACACTCGGCTGGGCGAGGTCGCGCCCGAAGGCATCGACGTGTTTTTCGACAACGTTGGATCCATTCAGCTGGACACAGGCTCCAAACACATGAAGCTTGGCGGAAAGATCGTGCAGGTGGGTGCCTGCTCGGAGATCCCGAACTATGTGACGGGCGATATCACGGGCTGGAAGCAGTACATTCGATTGTGTTCAAGGGAGCTCAAAGTCGGCGGTTTTTTATTGTCCAACCATTTTAAGGAGATCCCTGTCGCAGCACTGAAGATATTGTTTGCGCAGAAGCGCGGCAAGCTCAAGACCATGGAGACTATTGTCCATGGGAGCCTTGATAAGTTTGCAGCGTGTGCCGACACTGCGCTTAACGGCGAAGGTTTTGGCAAAGCTGTGTTTGTCATTGACAAGTGAGGCTCTCGAGCACATATCCTTCTCACAGGGAAGCAGGCTAGGTTCGTTGCCCCCATGTGTCCATTGGTGTGCTGGGCGTGCTAGGCGCTAGGGCAAACGTCCGTTTGGCTCTCCATGTGTTTCGGGAATGTCGCCTGGTGCAGAAGCAGTAGCGGGAGCAATGCGAGCGTGTCATTCGACGGGCCGCTCTCCCCCTGCGCGCAACAGCCCGGTGTATATATAGGCCTCTTTGGTAACTGCTCGCTGGGGGGCAAAGCGTTGGAGCGTGAGTGTGAGCACATGCGCGTGCGTGTGATGTCTTGGCGAATGACAGCCAGGCGACGGAGACAGTTGATGCACCCTCGCTCTGTGCTGCTGGTCTGCGCCGTGCAGTCGAAGTGCACAGCATGCGGGTTGTTGCGATTTGCCTCCAGCTGTTGCAATAAGTATAGATAATATTTTTCATAGGCGTCTGGGATATTTTCTTCGGCTCGCTCACGCAACGCGTGGCATGCGAACCCTATCTGGCCAGCGCTCGTTTTCGCCAGACATACAGACGTGCACACTTCTCACGGGCCGACGGTGATGGGGCAATGACAAAAAATGACGCGCGCTATGGCCCCCCCCTCTCCCCTCCCCTCCCTCCCATAACGTGACGCCCCTCCCTCCCTGTCCCAGGCACTGCCGCAGTGCGTCTGGCACCGCAGTTTGTGGCGCCGGCCGGACCCACACGGCGGGGGGGAGGGGGAGGCGTTACGTTCTGCCCCCCCCTCCCGCCCCACCCCTCCCCTACCCCGTAGCGCCCGTTATCGCCGCGAAATACAGAGATGCTCTCTTGGGGCCCTCTTGGGCCGTCTTGGGGCTCTCTCGGGCCGTCTTGGTGGCCTCGTGGCCGTATGCTGGGTGTCTTGGGGCCGTCGTGGGGTCGTCTTGGCGCCGTCTTGGGCCGTCGAAGGGCCTTCTAAGGCCGTCATGGGTCCCATGGGAGACCCGCTTGGCCGTCTTGGGGCCGTCTTGGATGCCTCTTCGGCCATCGAGAGGTCCTCTCTGGCCATTTGGAGACCCTCTCGGGGGCCTCTTGGATTGTCTTGGGGCCATCGTGGAGGCTTCTGGGGCCGTCTCGAGCTGACGGAAGCCCGAAAATGCGAGAATGCGAAAACCGTTCAAACACCCAGAGGAAATCAGTGTATTTGGCCTCTCTGGACCCTGCTTTGGAGGTCCTCTTGTGGTCCTTTTCGGCTCTCTTGGAGGCATCTTTGGCCGTCTCGAAGCCATATTCGGGCGCCTTGGGGCATCCTGGGAATTCCTGTGTAGCGGCCTGTCACGGTGCGGCTAGAGGCGCCCGAAAGAAACAAAGAGGTCTCTTGTTAGAACACAGAACCCCTACCAGGCAGCCCTTGCCATTCTTCCACGCCTCAGCGTGCACATGACACGGTGGCGGATGAATCGATAGAAGGGTGGGGCCGAGCTTGCGAGAATATCCCGAGCGAGGGCGCTGGATTGAGATTCTGCGCCAGATTCCGTCAGACTCGCCAGGGACGGTGCAGGAGACGCAGTTGCTGGCCTCCCTTTCTCGCGCGCCTGTGGCCAGGATGCCGTGAGTTCCGCAGGAATTCCTGCAAATTGATCCTGTGGATGCTCGAGCGAGGGCGCCCCCGAGGCGTCGGAGGCGTCTGCCTTTTTGCCGGCACGTCGAGCCTCTCGCGCCCGCAGCGGGAACCTCCGTCGAGGCGGTGATGCGCTGCGCGGCGCCGTGCTGCCGTGCCCGTTGCGCAGTGCAAGGCGGGCCCTTCACTCCCCGCTCTTGGGCTCGAACTTGATCGACAGCTGTCAGTCCCCGGCGCGTGTGTGGGGCCTCGTCCAGAGTGGCAGGGTAGGTGTTCGGCGGACCAGTGAGAAGGAGTGCGAGGGCCCCCCCCCCCCGTGAGGCCCCTATGTGCAGCCTTTTTGCAGGCGCACGCCCTTCTTCACGGGTGGTCGCCCTGGGCCCTGTTGGGCCTGCTCTCGGGCGCTTGGGCGGAGCCGATCCCGCTGCTCATGACCCCCGAGCGCGGGGCGCCCACCCGTTGTGCTGCAGCGGGGGGGAGTGAGCAGGAGGGGATGAAGCGAGGGCGTTGGGGTGTGCTTGGGGAGGGCAGCGAGTGATGGCGGGACGGAGGTGGGAGACTCGCTGCTGGCTTCGTGAGGTTTTCCCTTTGCAGTTCCTCTCTCCTCCGACGTTGGCAGCTTCTCCGCGACGTCGGCCCCTAGGGCTTCGACCACCTCCTCGGGGTCGGATCTTCATTCTGGAGCCCTTTGCCGTTGGCCCCAGAGCCGGAGAACGGCCTCCAGAGGCCGAAAGTGGCGAAACATATGCGGCCACATGGTTTGCTGTGCCAACCGGATCTGAAGGTCATTCGGGAGGGAAGCAGAGCATCGATCGCACGCTGCCGTCGGGAGCCCGTCGGCGTGTTGCTTCATCGCCGTTGTCCGGAGGCCCTGCGTGTCTTCGACGGTAGCACGCTGCCGGGTTCCCCACGGCGGCGCGTCGCTGGTGCTGCTTTTGCTCCCCCGGCCACGCCCCCTGACGTCGGCCACTGAGATTTTCTCACGCGCGGCCCCAGACACCAGTCCCGATCGATTCCCTGGAGCCAGTTGCTTCGCCCCGGATTCTGGAGCTAGGAAAGGGGTACGGTATAAAGGGGTGTGGTGTTCATTTTATGTAAAGGGGGTTCTGGCGATGTGATTTCTCGTAGATAGCATCGCCATTTCCATGATTGGCACCATACCCCTTTATGCCACACCACTCTCCGACCTCCAGACCGATGGCGGGCACCGGAGGCCGAAATCGAGAACACCGCCCGGATTGAACAACAAACACACCTCGCCGGAGGCCTGGGCCGCGCGCGCGGCCGCGGCGCGCATTGGCACCGCCGCTGCCGCCGTCGTCGCCGTCGCCGTCGCCGTCAACGTCGTCGTCGCCGTCGCCGCCGCCGTCGTCGCCGTCGCCGTCGCCGTCGTCCGTCGTCCGTCGTCCGTCGTCTGTCGCCCGTCGCCCGCCGTCGCCGTCGTCCCGTCGTCGGCCGCGGGCCTGCGTGGCCCCGCCGCAGACCGCCCCCGGGGCCCGCCGCCGCCGGCGGCGTGGCGGCGCTGGCGGGCGCGGGGCGCTGCGCCGAGGCGCTCCGGGAGCTGCGGCGCCTCGAGGCCGCGGGCCGGGCGCCTGCCCGACGTCCGCTGGCGACGTTCGGCTGGCGGAGCGAGGGGGAGGGGGGGCCGCGGCGCGCATCGCCGCCCCGGCTCCCTCCGCCTCTCCGTCCCCCGGCCCCTCTGGCGGCGCCTTCGGCGCCGGGCCCCCTCCGGCGGCGCCTCAGGCGCCGCCCCCGGCGCGCTCAGCGCAATTACCTGCGGAGAAGGCCTTCTCGGAAGGCGGCTGGGCTTCTCCGAGGCCCTCGCGCCTTCTGAGATGGTTGCTGACTTCCGAGCCTTCTGAGAAGGCCCGCCCCTTCTCACTTCCCCCAGGCTCGACGCCGAGATATCTGGGTGGGGAGGTCTGTTGGGCATGCGGTCGGGAGATGTTTTGGATCGCGCGTCGCTCCGCCGGCTCTGGCCCACCTGCGCCTCGGTGCGACACGCTATCCACTTCACGGTCCCGAGGCGTCAACCTCCCGAGCTTTCCCGAGCCTTCCGACTCGCGGAGCGGAGCAACACGCTATCCGTTTGCGACGCATAGCGCGTCGCTGGGGCCGCCGTGGCGACGCGCTATGCAAAACAGTTCTTGGCCGCAAGCAGGAACTTTCGGAGCTCCGCGTGGATTTCTTGGATCGCGTCTGGACCCCCATGGCGGCGCCTCCGGCGCCGCCCCTGGCGCGCTCCGCGCGCCAGTCAGGGGCCACCACTTGGTGAAGTGGGCGCGGCCCTGGTCGTGGTCGTAGTGGAGGTCGTGGTAATTGGCGTGGGAGTGGTCCTTGTCCTGGTCGTGGTAGTCGACGTGGTAGCGTCGGTGCCGCTGGTCGTGTTAGTGGTTTTGGTCGCGGTCGCGGCCCTGGTCGTCTGCAAGAATGCTCGCGTTCGTGACTATGGTCGCGGTAGTAGTGGATGACGTGGTAGTTGGCGTGGGTGGGGGTCTGGCCCTGGTCGTGGGAGGGGTCCTAACTGTCGCAGACGCGGTCGTGGTTGTCGACGTGGTAGTGGTGCTGTCGCTAGTCATGGTCGTGGTGGTGGTAACGGCGTGGCCCTGGTCGTCGCAGGAGTTCTCACGATCGTGGCCCTGGACGTGGTCGTACTGGAGGTCATGGTAGTTGGCGTGGGAGTGGGCGTGGCCCTGGTCGTGGTTGTAGTGGAGGTCGACGTGGTCATGGTCATGGACAGCGTGGTCGTAGTCGTACAGACGTCGTAGCCGTAGTCGTGGTCGTGGTCGTGGTCGCGGCTATTGCGGTTGCGGGCGTCGTGGACGACGTGTTCGTGGTGGCTTTGTTCATGCACTTGGGGTGGAGGTGACGTCACGGCGGCGTCGCTGGTTCTGGGGGCGAGAGCGATGGTACCGGCAAGGAGCCGTAGCGGAGGAGATGACGCGGGCGCAAGAGAGGACGAGCGGGCGGCCCGGACGGAGCAACATCAGGCAAGGCAGCAAGGAGGAACGGAGGGAGAGGAGAGGATTTGAACGCTAGGAGGCTTGCCCGCCGCGGAAGGCGATGCAGAAGCCGCGGGATGAGGGGCAGGACAGGGAGGAAAGGCAGAAACAAACATGCATTGCAGCAGCCTGCGCCCCGTTGTTGGCTGCTGGCGCCCTACATTCCCCTCTGCGCTCTCGCCCAGGAGCTCGCCCTGGCACGCCGTCTTGCACTGGAGCCCGATCTTCTCTGTGCAGTCGCTTGTCCCTTCGAGGGTGGCGGCCGTGGAGCCGTCCCATACGCCTCGAAGACGGCGCCCGCTGAGTCGCTCCTGGGCCTCCCACTCGAGGTCCACGGCCAGGAGTGCCAACGGCAGCCCCGGCGCCAGAGGTGCCAGGCGGCCCCGTTGTGCCGGCTCCCCGTGCACTGTGGCGCCGCCGCGCACCGACCCCGTTGGCCCATCTGGGCCGGCTACAGGAGACTGGGCTGCTGCCTGCGCTGGCCGCGTTACCGGCAGACGCGCCCAGTCGAGGACCTCTTTCCCTCAGGGCCCTTTTCCTTGGGTGCTTGATCATGGGCCCCTTGCTAAACGCAGCCGCCTCTCTTTCGCGCCGAAGACTGTCGGACACCTCCGAAGACCGCCCAAGGCCGATGGGCAACAAGGGATCTACCACCCCCTCCCCCTCTTCCTCGCCGCTGCCCCTCAGGCGTGCGGGGCCCAACCCGACGCCGCCCTCGACGCGGAGCTGCTGGAGCAGGCGCTCGGTGCCCCCTGCGCCTGTGCTCCCGGTGTCCTCGCTGTGTGCGAACAGGAGTAACTAGGCATTCTTTTTTGTTCTGTTGGTTTCTCACTTCGGCGTCTGGCAGCACAGCGGGGTGCAGCCCGACTGTCAACCAGGACTCGGGGAACGAACAATGGCATGGACATAAAATCTTGGAGGTCCGCGCGGATTTCTCGGATCCGCGCTGGACCCCCTTGGCGGCGCCTCCGGCGGCGCCTCCGGCGCCGCCCTGGAGGCTCCGCGCGCCAGGGAGGGGGGTCCAGCGCGTATCTATCAGATCCGCGTGGACCTCCGAGTTTTTATGTTTATGTCATTTCTCGTTACCCTATGGATTGGGACGTAGAGTGTTTCGAGCTGCGCGGCTATGAGCCGCTCGGGGGGGGGGGTGAGCTTGTTGCCGGGGCCTTCTAAGAAGCAGCCTCTTTCTAGGAATCCCTCCAGGCGCACGCGCTCTTCCAGGAGCCGTCAGGACACGTCATCGGCCACGCGGCCGGGACAGAGGTGGACACTGGCTTATCCAGGGGACCAAAGCCGTGTCACGGGTGGTGTTAACAAATCGTGCCCCCCGGTGGTGTTAACAAATCGTGCCCCCCGGGGGCGGTAGCCAATCTCTTGTAGCTGCAAGCTCTGCCGCCTGTATGGTATGGGAGAAACTCTGACATCCGAGGATGGGCTGGCATCCCCCAGCAACGCTACTGGCAAAAGGGGGCGTGGCAAAAAGGGGGGGGGTCTTGAGCCACTGCTGACTACTCATGCCGATGCTATGCCGATGCTCCCTTGTCCCACGTCCTCTCCCCCCGTCCCCCCGTTCGGGGGGGGCGGAGGGGGACTATGGCAATCCTTGGTGGACGTTCAGGCCGCCAATACCAGGCGTTCCCGAAAGGACGGTGCGCCAAGGAGGGCGACGACATCCTGAACATCATCGCTCCTCCCCACTTCCCCCCCGGCGAGGACCGTCATTAGGCCTCGCCTGTGAGGACCGTCAATAGGCCTCACACCCCGCGCAACTTCCATCAATGGGGTTGCGTGGGTCCCCATTCCCATTATTTCAACTTTTCATGAGGGCGTCAATTGCCACCGGAGGGGGCCGAGGACCTCCCTGCAGCCCCTCGGCCAACGAAGACGGCTGCAGGGAGGGGTCCAAACGTACCTCCACCTTCCAGCACCAATGAACCAATAAACCAGTAAACCAATTCCTCATATTCCTCGTTGGGGCCGTGGACGGGATTTATCCCCTGCCGGCTGACGGTGCCTGTCAATGCCAATACACCATTTTACCTTATGGCGTCATGCGCCCATCAGTACACCAATACACCAAGGGTGATGGCCCGACCCGTGCCGCCGCGGTGTCACAGGTGCCGCCGCGGTGTCACTCATGCGGTCGGGCCCGCTCCCCACCCATTAGCCGAGCTCTTCAAGGACGGGAATGCGAACAAAACAAATATAAAACAAATTGTTTACCTGTGATTATTCGCCTTGAGCCAAACAAATGCGGTCCTTGGCCTTTTTCTACTACGCCTTCTAACTTCCCCGGCCCCTGTCCCCCCTGGCAACCCTCGCCGGCCACATTGGGCCTTAGGGTTTCGGTGTGGGCTCTGTCTATGCTCGGGGGGCTGGGGCGGTCGCCTGCGTTGGCCCGTTCACTTGTGGCCGGCGGCGCGGGGCTCGCAGGAGACGGCGGAAGTAAAGTGTTGGTGATGTTTTCGCCCCCGTTTTCAGGTGACCCTGCCAGGACCGCCTCCCTTCCAGGCGCACGCACTCTTCCAGGAACCGTCAGGACACGTCATCGGCCACGCGGCCGGGACAGAGGTGGACACTGGCTTATCCAGGGGACCAAAGCCGTGTCACGGATGGTGTTAACAAAGAACCCGACTTCCCGGCTCAAGTATCGACAGTGTGCGTTTGATCCCTGCCAGGTTTCTCGTCTTCCCTTCCAGGCGCACGCACTCTTCCAGGAGCCGTCAGGACACGTCATCGGCCACGCGGCCGGGACAGAGGTGGACACTGGCTTATCCAGGGGACCAAAGCCGTGTCACGGGTGGTGTTAACAAATCGTGTCCCCCGGTGGTGTTAACAAGTCGTGCCCCCCGGGGGCGGTAGCCAATCTCTTGTAGCTGCAAGCTCTGCCGCCTGTATGGTATGGGAGAAACTCTGACATCCGAGGATGGGCTGGCATCCCCCAGCAACGCTACTGACAAAAGGGGCGTGGCAAAAAGGGGGGGGAGTCTTGAGCCACTGCTGACTACTCATGCCGATGCTATGCCGATGCTCCCTTGTCCTACGTCCTCTCCCCCCGTCCCCCCGTTCGGGGGGGGCGGAGGGGGACTATGGCAATCCTTGGTGGACGTTCAGGCCGCCAATACCAGGCGTTCCCGAAAGGACGGTGCGCCAAGGAGGGCGACGACATCCTGAACATCATCGCTCCTCCCCGCTTCCCCCCCAGCGAGGACCGTCATTAGGCCTCGCCTGTGAGGACCGTCAATAGGCCTCACACCCCGCGCAACTTCCATCAATGGGGTTGCGTGGGTCCCCACTCCCATTATTTCAACTTTTCATGAGGGCGTCAATTGCCACCGGAGGGGGCCGAGGACCTCCCTGCAGCCCCTCGGCCAACGAAGACGGCTGCAGGGAGGGGTCCAAACGTACCTCCACCTTCCAGCACCAATGAACCAATAAACCAGTAAACCAATTCCTCATATTCCTCCCCCATATCCCCTTGTGCGTGCCGCCAATATTCCCCCGCGCGGAGGGTGGGACGGTCTGGAGAAGATCACGTCTGCTTTTTGACCGTATCTTCGTCCTGTGCTTGGGCACCAGATCGAGTGTTTGGGGGTCTCTTCGACGTCGGATCGGTGTTGTCAGGCGCTTGCGGCGCAGTTCAGGCCTTCAGAAGGGCCTTCCGAGGCCTCCAGGGAGCCAAGCGGCACCAAACGTGCGCTCTGGAGGCAGAGCACCGATCTCTCAATCGATGCGTCGCGTATCGAAACCAGGCCATCCAGCAGCCGTTCCTACGGCTTGTTCGCGCCGCAGTGTCGCGGCGGCGACACTCCAGCGCGGACTTCCAAGGTTGAACGCGCCAGTGGCCGAGAGTCGGCCGACATAGAACGACATGCGCTTAGAACTGCGATAGCTCAAGGGTGAACGCCACACGAAGTGTCAGAAAATAAATTCAGCGTCATCACGATGTGAGTCGGCTGTAGGAGTGGGAATGCGAGTATGTGGTAGGCACGTGAATCGGAGCGGCAGTGCGATATGGAGTATGAATAGGAGGAGGGGAGGGGCTGAGTAGGAATATGGGGTTGGGATAGGGGTATGAGCAATGAGTAGGCTCAAGAGCACGGGTGGTAGTCATGCAAAGTACGAGCTGGCCAAACACACAGGCGCCACGCTAGAGCGGGAGCGCCACTTCCATGAAAACATGTTCGGCGGCGAGCCAGAAACAGCATTCCGCTTTCGCGCGCGATGTGCGTCTCGTCTGTTCCGGCCGCGCAGATTGCAACGCCAAGTGCAAGATGTCGATGCCGAAGGTAGGATGCGTTGAAGTGTTTCTCCTCCCCTTCCTCCTCTTCCTCCCTCCGCCCTCCTCTTTCTCCCTCGGCCTCGCAAGGATCGTCTGCGCGTGCAGCATGCCGCGGCAGGGAAGGCCCAGTGCACGGCTGCCCTGCGTGTCCTCCGTCCGTTTCGTGGCAGTGGCAGTGTCTATAGGCCCCTCGAGGGTCAGCGGATTCCGTCTGGCTTCCCGAGTGTGCAGGGAACGCCGGGGGGACTCCAGGCCTCAAGCAGCCGTCAGTCGGCCCGAGCTCGACGTGCGTTGCTGATAATTTGATGTATGAGCGGGGAGCTACAGTGGGGGCCCATGCCAAGAAACACCCTGCTTGCCTCCAGGGTGCCCTGGGTTTCTTGGGTTTCGATGGCTTTGCTGTGGAAGGCGTGACTTTCCCACGCCAGAAATCAATAGACATCCTGGGGTCTCAGGGTTGGGTTTCTTGTGGAAGGTTTCTTGCGGTCGGGCTCCTGCTGTAACCTACTCGTCCTTCCATGGCCATTCGTTCTTCGGAAACAGCACGATGCGAATCTGGGAAAGCGCCGACGTGCACCTTCGCTGGTGGGCAGGGTGGAGTGGCCCGCCCAGGGCGAAGTTGGCTCGTCGCTCCCGCGACGATCTCCTACTACTGGGACTATCGTTACTTCGGTACAACAGAGCTGGAGCTGGACTTCGCCTACGGCGAAGCTGCGGCCCCCCAGCCCCTTTCAAACTCCAGGAGCACAGGCGGGAGCAGGCGTGCAGGTGCGAGTGGGACAACGGGCGCCGGGGAGAGCACCACAGGCCTGACCAAGCTCAGATGGCCGAGTACCGTAGGCCTTCCGCGTGCCGGCGCGGCGGCGGCCCCAGCGCGGGCGCTCAAGGCTGCACGTCGCCGGTGGCCCCGAATTCGCCGACTTCGAACGACTCGCGCAACCGGAGAGCCGCGACGATTCTGCGATGGGCGGCCCGTGCGGTGGAAGAGGCCAGCGCGCAAGGCGGCACGCGGCGAGCCTGCCGTGGAGCGCAGAGAGGCATGCGGAGGTGACGCAGGGAGCCGCGCCGGAGGTGCGCCGCGTGGGCACCAGGTACGAGGAGCTGCCGGGTGTGGGGGGGGGAGGCGCCGAGCGGCCGAGTTTCGCCGGCCTGGGTCGAGGGTGGAGCCCCCAGGCGGCATGGGGGTGCTTCAGGGGCAGCGCCAGGGGGGGCAGGCCGCAGGGGGGGGGGATGCCTCGACGCCTTCTCGCCCACTCATCACCGAGAGGGGCCCGACAGTCCACCCCGCCCAGGGACTTGCGGATTCGCCATCGGGGGCTCACCGCTGATCCAGCGGGGGTGCATCGCCGATTTCAGCTCGACGCTCCCCCACCTGCGCTGGTCTCCCCCGTCACGTTGCCATCAGGCAGGGGGACTGCCGGGGGGGAGGCAGTTCCCGAAGGGGGATGGCGGGCGGGAGGGGCCAGCAGGCAGATTGGGTGCAGTCGGGATGTCAGGAGCCCGCCGGCCTGTGCGGGAGGGCTCGGCGGCCTGGGCGAGGGGCACGGGGGCCGCGGCGTGCGGGGGGCGGAGAGGGGGAACAAGAAAGGCGGTGGGGCTGAGGCCCCTGATCCACAGGACGTGTGCTGGCCCACCGACAGCATGCAGCCTGTGTTGGCCCTAACACGCGTTCTGAGGAGCATCGATGAGGGGTCAGTGAAGGGCGGGCGCCAGGAGGATCGGCGGAGGAGGGGGGGGCGGCGAAGGGGGGGGGACGAGGGCGGAGTAGGACGAGGAGGAGGAGGAGGAGGAGGTGGAGGAGGAGGAGGAACCACCAGGAGGGGGAGGAGGGGGCGAAGAAGGAGGAGGAGGATGAGGATGAGGATGAGGATGAGGATGAGGAGGATGAGGAGGAGGAGGAGGAGGAGAGGAGGAGGAGGAGGAGGAGGAGGAGGAGGAGGAGGAGGAGGAGGAGGAGGAGGATTGGAAGGCAGGGAGGGGAAGCCTGCCCCCTCCCCTTCAGGCCTGGTGGGTGGTGAGGCGACCCATTCCCAGTCTTGTAATTAAGCTGCGACCTCCCTTGAACGAAGGATTGCAAAACAACCCATGATTGCAGTTTTTTTTTTGTTTGTTTTTTTTTGCAAAAAAGCCCTAGGTTTTTTTGCAATCCTGTTTTTTTTGCAACCCTGGGTTTTTTTGCAATCCTTCGTTCAAGGTTTTTTTTTGCAATCCTAGTTTTTTTTTGCAATCCAAAAGGCAGACCTGATCATACGAGCGCTGAGCGAATTCAGCAGGCACGTATGCACGCATGCCTGTATGTATGCAGTGGGGGCGCACATCAAGAAGCCCTGTGCTTTTCGTCGGGGTATCCTGGATTTCTTCGCTCCGCGCGCCGCGCGGCGACTGCCCGCGGCCGTTGAAGGAGCTGCTGCGTTCAGGGTGTTGTGGGTTTCCCCTCAGGTTCACCTTGCGCACGGGTTTTCAGGATTGGGTTTCTTGGTTGCGTTCCTTGCGGCCGCGCCCGCACTGTGTGCACGCATGCCTGGATGTATGTGTATAGCGTCGCTCTCTCTCTGTCTCTCCCTCTCCTCTCACTCTTCTTCTTTCTCTCTCTCTTTCCGTCTTGCCCTCCTCCTTCCCTGCGCCTCCGCTGCTTCCCCTCCTCTCCCTTCCCCCTTGTCCTGCCTTTTCCCTCCCCCCCCGAAGATTACCCGCAAGGCAAAAACCCCAACGCGCAAGGTCCAACAAAAAAGCCCCCCGGGCCAAATACATCGTTTTGGACTCCCCCCTTCTCCCTCCCCCTTCCCCCTCCCTCCTCCTTCTCTCTCCCACGCCCTTGCCTCCCACCTCCTCCCCCCCCTCTTCTCTCCGGCGGCGCCCCTGTGCCCCCCTCTCGGGCTCGCCTGTGCCCGTCTCGCCCTCAGGTCTCTTTCGTCTTGCGCTCTCCTCCTTGGCGTAAGTCGGGCGTGTCCCTCTACAGGAGGAATGCTCGAAGATAGTAAAACATAAGCTGGGGTCGATGTTTTGATGATTTTTGTTGTTTTTTTTTTAATTTTATTTGTTGTCTGTTTTTGAATTCTCGTCCAAAATTCCCCTGTAGGTGGGGGACAGGCCCGATCTAATCCCTTGCGCCGCCCCTGACCGCCAGCGGGTCCGCCGCCCAAGCTTCGGGACGATCGAAATGGGTACGGAAAGAATGGGCACAAAGACGGACAGCAGCTCCTGTTCATTTTGAGCTGGATTCGCTAACGGCGTCGCCGGGGACTGCGTGCATTTGTGACTGGAGGCCGCCTGCCCAACAGCGGCCGCTGCTGGGTTGTGACAGCATGTGTTGCTGCCCACTTGTCCGTACCCATTTCGGGGCGTCCAAGAGCTGGGCCGGAGGTCGGTGCTCGCGCCTCTGGTTGGGCGTTGCGTAATGGAGGGTTCATAAATGGGGGGGTGGCGAGGGTGGTCCGAAAAGGTACCCAAACGGTACCTAAACGAGCCCCCTGGGGGTCCGGAGGGGCCCGAAAGGGGCACGAAAGGGGACCGTTTCTGACCCCCCCATTTCTGACCCCCCCATGAAGCCACGCCCAATCTGGCCCAGCCGCCACCACTGATGCGCTCGCCTCTGCAGGCGAGCAGCCTGAGCCCGGGGCTGGCCGCCACGGGCCTCGGAGTCTGCAGGCCCCCCGCAGAGGACGTTGCGGGCCTTGACTCTGAGCACTCCGCCCCGAGGGGCGGGCCAAGGCTGCAGCTTTCTCGGGCCGGGCCAGTGCCCTGGTGTATGAAGGTCCCCATCTAGGGGGGCCCCGATGCCCAGGAAGACAACGATCGGGGGCTGGGAGGATGGGGTAAGGAGATGTGAGGATCTCCTTCCCCGTGGGCGGCCGAAGGTATCGTTCATTGCATCCGGATGCTATTGCTCATGCCCTCCATCCTCCCAGCCCCTTCCTCCCAACACGCGGCGGCGGCGGCATTGGATAAGGAACGTCTTCCGGGGGCCCAGACCCTGGCGCATTCCTTATTGTTCCAAGGCGAGGTGGGTGGCCCACGTTTGGCCGCCCATCGGTCGCGAGACCCTGGGTTCCTTGTCGAAGGTGTCCTTATCCGGGCGCCAGCGCGCCTGCGGGGGCCCTCATCCTGCCGCCCGTCGCCGCGGTCGTGCACCAGGTGGCGCGGGAGGCGAGGGCGGCCGCGACGGGCGCCTGGGCGGCGACGGCCCGTGAGGGCGGCTGGCGTGGGATACGCAGAAGTGCATGAATTCGCTCACGGGCCTCGCGGCCCTTGAAGAGCAACGAAACCTCCACCGTCATTGTTCCCCTCCGATGTGCGCTGCGCGACACTGGCGCTCGGGCGCCCTCGCCCACCGGCCCCCGCGCCCGCCCTGGCGCGCCCCCGGCCTGCCTCCTCTCCCGGGCCGTGGCCGACGGGAGCCGCGCCGAGGCCGACCACGAAGGATAGATAGCCTACCGCCGCACAGTAACCGTTCAGTTGCGCCACCACCCCGCAGGACAGCTCACCTGCGTGGTTGGACGCCTGGCTTTAGTACATCTGCCGTGGTATCGTTGTTGCGCTGTTGTTCCTCCTTTTCTCCCCCTCTCTTGTTCCCTTTCCTTGCTCTTCCTTTTCCTCCCTCCAGTGTTTGACGATGGCCTGACGCCGCGTGCAGTTGACGTCCCAGCTGGTGATGTGCTGTGGCTCTGCTTTGGGTTCGCTGCTTCGGCCTGGGCGGAACAGCGCCGCATGTTGCAGCATCGGCCTTTACCCCTCTCGATTGGGGCTGCGGGTCTGTTCCGCGTTCTCGCTCCACTTGGCTCGTGATGCGAACGGCACGCCCGCGAGCTACAGGGTCGCCTCCGCAACGTAGGGTGGGGGCGTTGGGTAAGGAATGGGCCCATGAGACGTTAGACCCTGGAGGAATCCTTATCGGGTGAGGGCGGCGGTGATATCCATGGCCAGGCCACTATCGGAATTCCACCAGCTTCCAGACCTTGGATTCCTTATCCAAGGGTTCCTTATTGTTGAAAGAAGCTGTCTGCACCCCTTCGGCTTCAGCTGCGAATTGGATGGCACTGCTGCCACCCCCCGCCCCCGACTTCAATGTTGGTGACATGTCCTGGGGCCCTTCGACAACATACAGACGCACTCCATTTCAGCGTGCGCGCCCGCTCTCAATGTCAATGTCGGGGGCGGTGGGGGGGGTCGTATCCTCAGTTGTCATGCCGCCCAGGTGGTGCAAACTTGTTTCTTTCAACCGTAGCCTATGCCCTCACCGTATGGACGCGAGGATTCACAGGCACTCTCCGCGCTGCTCTCGCTGCGCCCGCGCCCACGTGCAGCACGGTGGGCCGAGCCACACGCCCGGCGGCCACTGGCGCACTCTGGCGCGCCTCGCCCCAAGGTGCTGACCTGGCGGCCCTGCCCCGCCAAGGTCGAGGGCGTTCGAGAGGGGAGTGACGAATGTGCGTGTGTGGATACCATGGCCACGGCCATGAAATCTACCGGGATTCCATGGCTCCATCCTTTTATTCTCCTCATTTTTCTGCTGCATCGCCTTCTGCTTCTTTCACCACGTTCCCTGGCCCCCCCCCTGGTCCGCGCACGTGCTCTGCGCCAAGGTGCGCGCTCCCGCCTCTTGCACGCCCCCCTCTGGGCGCTCCCGAGAGGGGTGCCTCGTGGGGGGATCTCTTCCTGGCCGGGGAGGGGAGGCGCCCTGCGCGGGCGTCACTGATCCCCCGGCCGCCGCCCCGCGAGCCTCGAGGTGCCGCGCGAGGTGCGCCGCTCGGAGCCCCCGTCCGTTCCATCCCGAGCAGGCGTGCGCCTCGGCGCGCGCCAGGGTTCGGTCGTCTTTGCTCGTCCCTCGCTGCGGGTGCCGCCTCCTGAGGCATAAGGGCTCGGCGCGCCCGCCGCTTGCCGCGGGGCGCCGGCGCGGGTGACCCCCGCGCGCATCCGGTCCGTCTCTTTCTCTCTCTCTGTCTCTCTCTGTCTCTGTATGCGTGAGTCGTGAGGGAAAGTGTGTGTGTGTGTGTGTGTGTGTGCGTGTGCGTGCGCGTGCGCGTGTTTGTGTTTGTGTGTGTGTGTGTGTGTGTGCGTGCGTGTGTGTGTGTGTGTGTGTGTGTGTGTGTGTGTGCGTGTGTGTGCGCGCGCGTGTGTGTGTGTGTGTGCGTATGTGTGTGTGTGTGTATGTGTGTGCGAGTGCACGTGTGGTGGGGTCGCATTGTGTTGACCACGCTGGCGCAGTGTAAACTAACATCCCGCCATGCCGCGACAAGATTCGTTCTCCTTTCATGCCGAGCCCCGCCCCCCTCCCTACCATGAGGAGACGCTGGAGATGCTCTCTTGGCAGGTGCGAGATCTGCCAGTTTTTGAGAGCAACGAGGAGCGGGGCGGGCAAGGAAGACGCAGACCAGCTCGCGTCGTGAAACCACGACGTGAGTCTTTTGTCGATTTTTGGTCTCTCGGGGCCCTCACCGGGCCCTGGGACCGCCCTGAAACGACTCGGGATGAAGAGCTGGTCCCAGGAAAGGGGTCCAGACCTCCAGGGGTCCACGTTTCGAACAAAGCATGGACCTCTAGCGGTCTAGGTTTCGAGCTACCCCAGCAAAGCACCCTTATAGCAGCAAGTGTGAAGAGGCGGGTCGAGGAGAAGGAGGTCGGCTAGGGAATCGTGCCTGGGCAGGGATGAGAGCACGGCGACGTGCACCACAGCGTTTCTCGCAAGGGAGCGTGGCCGCCCGGACCAAACATGTAGCCAGCATCGGGGCGAGAGCGCGGCTCCGAACAAGTTGTGGGGAAGTCTCTGGCGAAACCGCTGCCGGGCCAGGCGGTCTCGGGCTCCCTGTCCTCCTGTGGGACTCTTCTGCGTTATTTTTTTGTTTTAAAAAAAAAGATCACAGTCGTGAGCCTTGAGCCCCAGTTCTCGCCCCCCCCCTTCTCGGCGAAGCTCCCTTGCTTCTCGTCTCCTTGAAATTACATCCTGCCCCCAGACCCTTCAGTGCCAGATCGCACCAAAATCCGAATAGGATCCCAGGAAGGCCCCCAATCGGATCCCAATGAAGCCAACGAGGATTTCTAGATATTCCCAGGGATGTGTCAGAGATTTACACTGTCGGCGAGGGCTCTTGCCTCCCAAGAGGCCGTCTTGAAGCCTCTTTTGGGCCGTCCTACTCCTCTTGCTCCCACCGCCCCCCCCCCCCCGACATTTGTCGTGATTAACGTCGCCGGCGTGCCTTGATACAGTGGCAAATGGGACAAGCCCGCGGAATGTCGTAACGGCGCTGGAGTGCTCTGGATCGGATTCATCGGGCCGTGGAGTCGTGGATGATCCCTGTTCCGGAGGTGAGGCTGCCTGCACTGACACACAGCGCTGACCAGCACCATTTGGAGGGCGCTGCAGAGGGCGCCAGTCGAGTTTTCGTCTCTGGACCCCGAGCCAAGTCGAGAGGGTGTGGAAGGGGGAGGGGAGGAGGGATGAGGGGAGGAGGGAGGAGGGAGGAGGGAGGAGGGAGGAGGGAGGAGAGGGGGGAAGTCCCCCAGCTCTGAGCGGGTTTGCTGCTCCGGACGGGCAGCGCCACCGGCCCCCGAGAGGCCATCGCCTCATTGGGCATGCCGCCGGGCTTGTGCGCGCCCCGCCTGCCGGAGTGGCCCATGAGGAGGCTGCCTTCCGAGGCAACCCAGATCAAAATTTTCGTCGCGCGTGATGTGTAGCACTTTCATGGATCCTATGGTTATTGATTGTTTCTGTGCTCCTCCTCTTCCTATCCTCCTAACCTATCCTCCGATCCAACGTTTTGCTGTGCGTGATCTGTGTATCACTTTCATGGGTCCTACGTCTATTGCTTGCTTGCTTGCCACCGCCCCCCCCCGCGGAACACACTTAACCTGTCAGTGCTAGCCCGATCGTTCGGCGGCTCCCCCCCCTTCGGGAAGAAATCCATTTTCGTCTGAGTGCTGCCGAGGAAACCCAGGGGGCATCGATGACGTGGGCTCAGCGCCAGGACCCCTCAGCGGAACGCTACTTGGGCCCAAATCATGGATTCTCCCTCGGGAAACGTGCAACGCGACTTTTTGGCTTTCATGGTATCGACGACTGCCCAAGAGGCCCTCAATACCGCCCCAGGACGGCCCAAGAGGCTCCCAAGAGGCCCCCAAAACGGCCCAAGAGGGCGGCAAGACGGGCCACGAGGCGCCCAAGACGGCCCAAGAGGGCCACAAGACGGCCCCTAAGAGGGGGACCACGAACAGAAAAGTCTAGCGTTCCAAGAAGCTCCCAGGAGGCCCCAAGAGGCCCCTAAGAAGCCCCCAAGAAGCCCCCCAAGAGGCCCCCAACCAGGAGGCCAAACTCATTGGTTTCCTACAGGACAATATGCAGTTTTTGCATATGCGGCTTTTCGGTTCTCACGGGGTTGACGACGGCCCAAGATGCCCCCAAGACCGCCCCAAGACGGCCCAAGAGGCTCCCAAGAGGTCCCCAAAGCGGCCCAAGAGGGCGCCAAGACGGCCCAAGAGGCGCCCAATGCGGCCCAAGAGGGCCCCAAGACGGCCCCAAGAGGGGGACCACGAACCGAAAATCTAGCCTTTCGCCCCAAGACGCTACCAGGAGGCCCCAAGAGCTCCCCAAGAAGCCCCAACAGGCGTCCCAAGAGGCCACCAGGAGGCCAGAATCATTGATTCCCGATGGGAAAAACGTGCATTTTCAGCATGCGCGGCTTTTCGGCTTTCACGGCGTTGAAGACGGTCCAAGATGCCCCCAAGACCGCCCCAAGACGGCCCAAGAAGCTCCCAAGAGGCCCCCAAAACGGCCCAAGAGGGCGCCAAGACGGGCCACGAGGCGCCCAAGATGGCCCAAGAGGGCCACAAGACGGCCCCAAGAGGGGGACCACGAACCGAAAAGTCTAGCCTTTCGCCCGAAGACGCTCCCAGGAGGCCCCAAGAGCCCCCCAAGAAGCCCCAAGAGGCCTCCAAAAGGGTTCTAAAAGGGCCCCAATAGGGCTCTCAAGCCCTTCTGGCCCAAGCTTCTGCTGTGCCAGATCACCTTGTGCTGTTACCATTTGTGTGCTGGCTTGAGAGCCTCCATCAGGAGGTTAAAGCAAGGTCTCAAGATTCCCTCGCAGCCGCAGCCATGGCGCCTGCTTCCAGTACTGTGGCTCCTTGGAGGAGCTCTGCAGCCGCTCCTGCTGCGGACGACGCCGCCTGGGCCACCTTCTCTGCCAACGGTAAGACGTGGACATGTGGAAGTTGCGGTTGCAAGCGTAACAAGTGTTCGTGGTGGTTCTGCAAACATTGCAAGACGTCCCGTGCTTCGTCCGACTCTGGCACGTATGCCCCCCCCTCGTGGGGTAGCAGCTGGCACGCGGGCGGGACTGGAGGCTACAGCGGTTGGCCTGGCCTTCCGCTACGTGCAGGGCCCCAGTTCGACCCGAACGCAGGAGGTGTCGGCGGCGGCGGTGGTGCAGGCCATGGCTGGGTTTCGCCTCCGCCCGTCGATCACGGCAACACCTCCATTCCCGAGTTTGAGAAACTGGTGGACCTCCTCACGAAGTGCGGCGACACGATGGGGGCGCGGAAGCATCAGCTCATTCTGGATCAGAAGCGCCGTGCTGCCACAGCCCCCGCTGTCCCGCTACAGGCTAAGGTCAACAAGGCTTTCCATGACCTTCGTCAGCTTCGTGATCGCACCGACAAGGCCTGCAACGTCTATGAGAAGATGGAGGCAGAGTTGGTGTTGCAGCGGGGCCGCATCCAGACCCTCACGAACGAGCTCAAGCAGGCGGAGGAGGCTCACACGGCCCTGGTGGAGCAGCTGCACAAAGAAGTTGCACCTCCTTCGTCATCAGGCCCGCCTCCAGCTGCCTGTCTGGACATCGCGGCCATCATCCAGGGCAAGGCTGAGGAGATCCCGATCTCGATCGACTCGCTGTTGGCCCCTCAGAATGACTATGAGATCGCTGGCGACGACCTTGAGGAGGCGAATCGCAGGGCGCAGGAGCTCAAGCAGTCTCTTCAAGATGCAGTTCGCAAGCTGTTCGGCGACGCGCTGGACAGGACCAAAGCCTTCCAGGCGGACCAGCAGAAGATGCTCGAGCGGATCGCCTCCAAGCGGAGGCGCAAAGATGGAGACGGAGCAGCGGAGACAGTCGCGGGAGGTGGTGACCCTGCTCCTACTGCCGCTGCCGCCGCCGCGGGCGGCGACAACGTGGCTGCTGCTGGGGCAGCCGCCTCTGCCCCCCAGGCTGAGGTTCCAGGAGACGGCGCTGCTGCCGATCCCGACCGTGCAGATGTACGAGCCCGTGCTGAACGCCTGTTGTCACATGACCTCCCCCCCGCGGCTGAGGGGCTGCGGGGGGGCACAGCTGCAGCCTGAACATCATCATCTGAACCGCTCTGATGGACTCGCGCCTGTCTCTGCAGGCCAGCCGTTCAACTTGTCTAACTTTATTCTTTCGGCCTCTCGGCCTCGCCTCCGTCGTTTCCTCCGCTCCCGCGTTGCGCGTCCTTCAGGCTGTGGCCTGAAGGCTGCTGTTCGCCACGCGTGCTGGAGGACCAAACGAATTTTGTCTGGTGAGTGTCAGAGGTTCGACTCCCTGCAGGTTGCCCTATCCAAGCCTGCCGATTTTGCTCGGCCTGGCCCAGCTTACCCCGTGTTGGCTGCGCCTGGCTCTCAGTACCCGATTGAGGTGGTGCCTGGTCCCAGGATCTCCCAGGCTCCCCTTCCGTGCTCCTCCCTTGCCCCTCCTGGCACCCTGGAGCCTGACGGGATGAGCTCTGTCGCTTTGTCTGTTCGAACCCTCAACTGCAACAGTTGGGGCACCCTGAAGAAGATGTTACCTCACACGCCTTCGGCGGTCCTGCTGGTGCAGGAACATAGATTGGCGGGCAGTGAAGAAGTTGCTCAGGCCTCCTCTTGGTGTGCTCGCCATGGCTGGAAATCGCTGTGGACCCCAGCCGTTCTCACGGAAAACGGCACGTCTGGGGGCACTGCTTTGCTTGTGAAGAGTTGGCTTGGCCTTTACCCCCCTCCCTCTGGACACGCTATCGTTCCAGGGCGGGCTACCCGTGGGGTCATTCAGGTTCCAGGTGGTTCCAGCTACCACATGTTTTCGGTTTATCTGCATGACGGGGAAGGTTTGACCGAGCGCAATCTTGAGCTCTTAAGTTGTGTCGGTGCCTGTGCTTCCGCGTGCTGCTCCAGTTTTGTTGTGGGCGGCGACTTCAACGTCTCTCCGTGCGAGCTGGAGAGTAGCAAGTTTGTCTCTCAGCTTCAGGGCCAGCTCATCAACCCTGGAGGCCATACTCATTTTGGTAAAGGGGGCTCCCTCCACCCTGGACTATTTTGTTTGCAGTGGGGGGCTGGGGAAAGCCGTGGATTCTTGCTGGATC